AAAATATTTATTTTTTATATTAAAAAAGATATTTCTTTAAACCCTTGCATTTTTACCGTATAAAAATAGGAGTGGGTTATACGCCTACTCATAAGTGGGATAAATGACTCAAAAAAAATTCAAATAATCTAAAAAATCCTTTCTAAATAATAGTAAATAACACGTGAATTGACAACGTAATTTGCATTTGTTTATTAATTAATAAATAAAGAACTTATTATCACAGATTATGAATAAGTACATAAGTAAGTATATTAAGACATATACATACATGAATGTTATGATTAGTATGTTGAAAAAGGCGTTTTGTCACGTGTTATTATTTACTTTTATATTTATAAATAAATAATAGAGCATGTGTACTACGGCATAAATCCCTCATGCTAAAAATGCCGTATATCCTAAACAAATGGGATACACAAGACAATAAACTAAACAAAGAATACAAGAGCTATTCATTTGTATTTTGCTATACTCTATCCTTTACTATTCCTCTACACTTATGTACCACAAAATAATCACGAAGCCTTTTACATTTCCTACAATAATTATTTTATGTAGATTATAACTTATGGTTGCGCTACTTATTACAGTGATAAGTCGATTTAACTTACAATAATTTTATAAATATTAACAGTATATAAAACTGAAATCACAACACAATACTAATTTAACATAAAAGCAAGTAACAGAGTGGTTGCGAGAAAATTACTTTCACTTTTTCTATTTTTTCTGACTTCTGCGGCGTAAATCCTCGCGCGACGTATATACCGGAGTTACCATATTCGTGCAAAAATTTATAAAATCGATTATATTATATTAATTTAAACATTATATAAAGTGTTACCTATATTGTTCCATTTTTTTCTTAAATGTATTCAATATTATTAAAATACTAGACGAAATATGATACCTTTTATTGTAAACTAACTTTTTAACTGCGTATAGGCTATTATTATATGTATTCACGTGGATAAAGTCTTAACTCATATTATTTCTTAAAAATTGTTGAATTGGAAATAGATTGTAACAAATCGTTAAATGTTTATAATTTTAATTCGCCAGTACAAATATGAGATGCGGAGGTACGTGCAAAACTGATAATTATTTGATCCATTTAAATGATACAATAGACGCATTCTTTACAATATTCTTCTTATAAGAAAAAAATTACTTATTTATTACAAATTGTATTTTATTGCAATGTAATATTATTTTTACAACATATTTCTGTGAAAAAATACAAATTGCATATTAGTAAACGTAATTTTTCATATAAAATATTTTTAACCCCCCATGAGATGATACTGTTTACAATTAAGTATTATTTGATTTATTAAATTGTAAATTATATTACAAGTTATAACATCATATTCATATTAATTAATCGAGAAAAACCGTAGACATCAAGAAAACCTGCATGCGTCGAGGAATTTGTTATTCATTTGTGTTACCAGCAGTGCTTTGAGCAGCTTTCCTCTTCATAAGTTCTATGGTCTTCGCAACTATTAATCGCCATTTCTCGGGATCATTCTCTACGAACCACTCAGCAGTTAGGTTTAAGATTTCTTTTTGCTTTTCAGTACACCTCCTGCATTTAGTTTGGTAAGCTTCGCCGAACATTGCTGGAACAAGAGAATTATATTGTTTTATATTTATTTATTCTACTTTGCTTTTGATTAATAAGTGTACAGAATCTAAATGATAGAGAATTAGAGCATAAGGTAATCTGTGTGAAGTTAACCCCCCAACGTAAAAAATCTATAATTTTCTTGTGGCATACGTTTGCCTATCGTTTGCCCACCAATGCCCTGTTTGAATTTTTGTTTGCCCCCTTCTGGTTCGAAAGTTATACGCAAACCAATTTTGCGGGGGCCAACTTCACACTAGCCCACCAACGTAAAAAATCTAAAATTTTCTTGTGGCATACGTTTGCCTATCGTTTGCCCACCAATGCCCTGTTTGAATTTTTGTTTGCCCCCCTCTGGTTCGAAAATTATACGCAAATCAATTTTGCGGGGGCCAACTTCACACTTTCTCTCAAATTGATTTACATATAACTTTTGAACTAAAGGGGGGCAAACAAAAATTCAAACGGAGCATTAGTGGGCAAACAATGGGCAAACGTTTGCCACAAGAAAATTTTAGATTTTTTAATATTGGGGGGCTAGTGTAAAGTTGGCCCCCGCAAAATATATTTGCGTATCGGTATAACTTTCAAACCAGAGGGGGGCAAACAAAAATTCAAACGGGGCATTGGTGGGCAAACGATGGACAAACGTATGCTACAAGAAAATTTTGGATTTTTTAATATTGGGGGGCTAGTGTGAAGTTGGCCCCTCAAAAATTGATTTGCGTATAACTTTCGAACTAGAGGGGGGCAAACAAAAATTCAAACGGGGCATTAGTGAGCAAACGATGGGCAAACGTTTGCCACAAGAAAATTTTAGATTTTTTAATATTGGAGGGCTAACTTCACGCAGGTCATAAGATATATTCAGAAATTCGGTGTTGCTTTTTCAAGAATATAATTTTACACAAAAATAAGATAAATAATTAATTTCCGCATACTTCTGAGAAATCAATCATTCATTCAAAGATTAAATAAATAACTAAAACAATAATTATCGAATAAATTTTTTACATGCAATTTTCTATTTCTTCTATATTATTTTTGACAAATTTAAAAATAAGTGTATTTTATCAAATATTCGTAATTACTTTAACTTCTTTTAATTTTTAAATTTATATATATTTAATATTTAATTAAACAATAAAATTAAAATTTTGTTCAAATATAGCTCAAAAATGAATTAAGAGAATCTTATTTTGTCATTGGCTTTCTCTATTGATGTTTAGTTCGTCAGACAGATCTCTTATTTGACATTGTAGTAAATAATTTAAAAAATATAAATGTTTCAATGTTACCGTTAAAATTGATTTTGTATTGATCAATAAAATCCACAATCATAAAAAAAAAGCAAGAAAGAAATCAGCAATAATATAAATATACCTGTTAAGGCCACCTGTTCTGGTGTTTGGCACGGTGCTAGTTCCATAAAGCAATTGTAATATGCTTCTCGCACCTCTTTATTGTTGAGAGCAGCTCTAATGTCAATGTGATCATACCGATCAGAGTAGAGCTTTACTTCTTCTGCAAAAACGCACATTAGTACGTTCATAGCAATGATCAACGCGATGCAGCTTAGCCGAGACATTAGTTCCACAGTTATGATACTTGAAATACTAAATTGCCAATAAATCGTACATTTCATTTATACGAATATCACTTAACAAAAAAGAACATTACGTGGTGTAGAATATGTGCAAGATATAAACTAAAGATAAACTTAGCATATGAATTATAGAGAATATTAATTATATGTGTCTACAAAATACAACATATTATGTATGTAAATTTTGTGAATACGAGATGTCTATAATAGCTTGTTTTTGACAGATCTGATTGATTTAAAAATAATCTTTCCCTAGTACAAGTGTTAATAAGTTTTGAATAACGAACGATGAGATAAGTCTTTCTAAACTTTAAGAAGCTTAGTGGGTTACAAAAAATATCAATTAATTTTATTGCACTATAATTACTTAAAAATTATAATGCAATAGAATAATTGCGTGCATATATATTAAAATTTATTAATTATGTTTTCAGAATCTTTAGGATTTTATTTTTACGATTAGAATTTTTCGTTACGTATTTTAAATTAGATTAGATTTTATCATTTCTAAATATTAATGCATTTTATACGAAAAAATACATCCAGACGCGAGATATTGCTGGAACTGATCCATATGTGAAATATTACTAAAACTACTTAAAAACTTTGTATGCACATGCGATACGCAAGTATTGCGCTAACAAGCTTTAAGTAATCACTAAAAATGTTTATAAAATTATATACCGATATATTTTTTAAATTCTTGCCTCCTTTTGAAGCAAAAAATGTTCACGATAATATTTATCGTATTTATCAATTAAAAAATTAACTCTATATGCATACACACTTATTTTTTGTGTTCATAAATCTTCCGTTTTTTTAAATTTAATTTTGATTAATTCTACTTTTCCACTATTTGAATAATTTAAACATTTTGATAGTTTAATGCTGCTCTTATCAATTTAATTTTTGAATATTTTCTTTTTCACTATTTTGCACATTTAATTCTTTTTTTCCGGTTATACAAAATCGTATCCGGATCGGCAATCTGTCATCGATACATCATCGTTACATATGAAGGTACGCAATTAAGAAAAAATTTCTTGTTTAATTATATTTCAAATTATTTATCCTTTAAAATTAAAGCGTCTGCGCAGTCCTAAACTATTTAATAGAAAATACTTAATTGTTAAGTCATAAAAAGTTTTTTCTTTTGTAAGTAAATAAACGATTTAACAACAACTTGGTTCCGTTTTAACACTTTCACGCTGTGAACATTGATTTGTTCTTGTTTAATATTTGATAAACAACAAGGATAAAATAATAAAATAAATGTAAGTTAATAAGCGTCAAAAACGTGAATACGGAAAGCTGCTTATAAAATATTAAGTGCTTTTGATCATATAGAAATTTTTACAATTTGTGAAAGTAATAATGCTGATAATACAAAAATTTTTAACAATAATACAATTTCGACAATGCAGATATTTTCAAGATTGTTTGCTAAAACGGGATCACTTATATTAAATACCATCTGCACATGAAATAACTTGCAAACATTCCACTTAATTTATAAAACGACAGGCTATAATCATCCTGAAATCAGAAAAAAGAATTAACGTATAGGCTACGATAAAATCGATAGTAGATACGTAATATTCATACACGGAAATTGTTAATATTTCCATATCTATTAGTATGTCTTATTATGTTGTTAACATAAATAATGCATTTTGTATTTTTTTATCAATTAATAATTTAGCATTTTTTACAAGTTTTTGCTTTTAAATTATATAATATGCTTACATATGCGTGTAGAAGTCTGTCATTTCATTATTTTCATCCGCACTACACTACAATAATATGTATCTATTAATATTTTTGCAACTTTTTTACGTCTGTTTCCTCTTGCGAAATTTAGACGCGCAATTTATACAGTTATAATAAAAATTAATAAACATCTTTGTTACGAAGAATATACTAAACAATATTGCAAAGAAATTAAAGAGTAAAAATGTATAGACATCGACCAGATTCTGCACTACCCAGGTCTGAAATCTAAGCGGTGTTGCTAAACTTCCATTTGGATGACGAACAACGTATTTGATGCTCCAAACGGCTAAATCCAATGGCGGTAATGGTCGATCCCGGAATTCACTAGATAATCGTTTCATGTTTCTTGTATAACTACACGAAAGATATTTTACCATTAATAATGTAATACAAATTAATGGAATATGGGAAAACACATAAATATAAAAATAAAAGGAGGATGTTAAGCATATGTGCCGTTTTTAGTCTAAAAAGGCGTAAGTAAAAGTGTTTTTTATAGATTTTGACCTCCTGAATACGATAGAACACGTATAACACACAGCATTTATACTAAATACGCTGTGTTTAAGCTCAATTTTCAAGGTGTTTAAGCTCAATTCCCCAAGCGCTACGAACTTTTTATTAGTTCTATCGTATTCAGGAGGTCAAAATTTATAAAAAACACTATTGTTTTTATTTACACCTTTTTGGGTCAAAATCGGTACTTTTTTAACATCCTTGTTTATAATATATTATTTTTTCAAGATTATTTTTGTAGGTACTTATAAAACAGATTATGTTAAAATTGTTTACTTATGTATCATTTAAGGTAATTTTATGTTTACTTCTCAAATAATAATTGTTATATTTAAATGATATGATCCTTTTATCTCCTTATGTGGAGCATAGGACACACCTACAAGTCTCTTCCATTTTATTCTATTTCTTCTCCATTAAAATCAAAACATATGTGAGGTGAAGGATCAAACTCGAGACCGCCGATTATGAATCAAACGTGCTCGCACATCGAGCCATTCGTTACTCCGCGATCTGTATTCGTTTCTCGAATCAATTGCTTTTTGGACTTGCGGGTGATTGGCCCACAGAATCCTATCCGTCAGAGTTGTGCTGACTGTCGGTTGGCCGGAAGAACCGGTGGGGGCCGATTTTTATTTTATTTATTTTTATTTATTTACTTGAGTTTTAGATGGTTTTGAACTCGG